CTTCTTCCATACCCTCTGAACGCGTTCGCCAAACCCTCCTCCAGAGATTCCTCTAGAAGGATGGGGAGGTTCTCCCTTGCCTCGTCCACGGCCACGATGAGCATCTGGCATTTCGGGGGCTAGAACATTGAGTTAGTCACGAAAATATGGAGACTAGAAACAAAGAACTCACCTTCGTCATTTCTCTCGTCCTCGACTGCGTGAATCTTACGCTTCTTGGTAGCGGGGACTGAGGCCTCCTTGTCCTTGCCCTTAGGAGGACCTGTTTTGATAATTGGTCGAGGGCGAGGTTTGTTGTCCTTGCTCTTCTTGCGCCCCCGAAGTAACCTGGGTGAATCAATAACGATCGTGTCATCGTTATCAGGGACCGAGTCCTCGAAGACAGGATTGGGCGCCGGTTTTAAGGTCTTGACAATACGACGAGTTGGAGGAGGGGAGTCGACGTCCATAGTCTCGTCCTCTGGAAGCGGTGGAGGAGTCTTGGCCTTAGTCATAGTAGTATCCTGTTCATCGTCGGTACCAGGATAAAATAAGGGCGTACGATCGCGTACCTCTTCATTAGCTGGTGGAGAAGCTACAGGTTGAGAAAAGTCGAGATTTGACGACCCCGAGGCCTTGATAGCAGCAAGGCTCTGTTCCACGAGCAAGGACTTAGTGGGACGACTAAGAGGCGAATCTTGAGGCAGACGAAAGTCGAACGCTGACGACGGCGGCAAAGGTTGACTACCAAAAGGAGAGTTTAGTTGAGACCGCGGCGGAGACCAAGCAGAGGATCCCCACCCAAGCAGCATTGAAGAAGGACCAGCTAAACCAAGACGCTCGTCATTGGCAGCAGGCGGACCAGATTGGTCTACGCCTTGGTCTCCAGCTCCATGCGCAGGAGGGGGCGTCTTCTCCTTGAAGAGGTCTTGAGCAGATACCGACTGAGTATCCAACACCGGTGGAACTGGTGAAGCTTTTCTTGAAGTCGGAAGAGCCGGAGAAGAAGGTTTGAATATGGACGGCGCTGGACTCGTAGTCCCCGAAGGCGTTGGTTGAGAGCGAGAAAGGACTGGAGTTTTCTCCGTCGAGGGAGAACGACGAGGTGTTGGTTGTCTTGAAGCAGGAGGCACAGGAGTTTTCTCCTTGGCCTGGACAGGCGTCGTAGCATTGGAAATGTTCAAATTTGAAGTCGTCCCCTTGGGAGACGGAGGAACCGAAGGCGTGTTTCTTGATTGCATAGACACGACTTCCTGCTGACTAGAAGAAGTCGACGCGCCCATATTAACGGGAGGCGGGAGTGTTGCGTGACGAAGTAGTTTGTGAGGCGTTTGAGAAAGTCCGCGACCCAGAGCCATCGAAGGTGCACGCGACTGACGAGACACGGCCGGACGAAGGACAAGAGGACTAACAGTGATGTTATACTTGTCCTAAAAGGAAGAAGTCAGTCAAACGAACGAAAGAAGAAAATAGTCAACGCACGAAGAACACCAGCATCGCATTAAACTCTGCTCGCGCCTGAGACACGAGTTTCCGAGGAAAATGTTGAAGGCACGATAGTGCAGCGAATTCGAGTTCAGACCAGTCGTCCTCGTCGACATCTTCTACTGCGCTCCAAGTAGTATCGCAGACAGTCCAGCTGGAATGGGCATTAATAAGCCACGCATCGACCTCAGCGGAATCCCAAGCGTTCGTTGGAGGGTTGGCACCGAGTTCTGTTAGCTTTTGTGCAGAGTCGTGATAGCTTGGACCGAAATCTTGATCAGCCATGGCAGAAATCAACGTCGTTGGACAACGATGAGCGAGAACGAAGGGAAGAACTGAGAACTACTCTAGTAAAACCAGAGGTGGCATTCAGCGCACGAAGTCAAGACGAGTACGCCAGTGTAACCAGCGTCGACTCACGAAGAAACGGAGAACTCACCTCAAGAGGAGGAAGAGCGTCTTTGTGAGGCTCTAATACAAGGAAACACGCGTCGAAGTCAGCACAGACGACGAGCAAGCGCACAGAGGACGGTACCCACTAGTACGCGGTGGGGAGCGTAAAGAGAAGTTCCACCAACGCGAAATTTCTCTAAGTTCACCTTACCACGCGGCACAGAAGCCATGTGTGCCTTTCACCTTTCACAGTGAAGGTACTATGTGGAACTTAGAAGAAATACGAGACCGAGCCCGTATGGAATACCGCTTCTTCGGGATCTATTTATAGGTCATCGACGCGTCTTTGGCATTACCGTAGCCATTAACAGTCTTATCGCACAGCCACATCTTATCTCTTGACGACAAGCACCCTAAACCCTGGCTTCTCATGGGAATATCGATTATATCGCCAGCGACAAATGTTACGGAGTAACATAATAAAAGTCTAGGGGGGATGATGAGCCTCAAGGCTCTGTACGCTCAGAATTCGCGGATTTTAGCATTATAATAAATGCCTTGTCCACTTAGCGGACTTTCACTAAGTCAACGATTGCAATCACGGCAATACCCACTCTTACCGCCAACTATCCTTCCCAGCTCGTATTCCGTATCAATATGCGCCACTTCATTAATGCCGCCAGGCACCTGATTGCAGATCTCACGGAATTAGGACCATCATTGATCGCCCAGCACAGCCATCGATGACATCAGCATCAAGCGTCATTTAGAAGAATGCCACAGTCAAAGTACCGATTCCACGGCAAAAGACTTAATACCGTGACCTTTTCACCAGCTTTACTAAGGCTGTTACAACGCCAAGATAATGCCGCACGCATCTACTTCAGTGTACTACCTTCAGTGTACTTTGCCGCAGCAACACAGCAGCCCAAGAGTCCGTATGTCGGGGGAATTCTTTCTGATCACTAAGTCTATACGCGGTAAAACCGTGTGGGTGCTGTTACTTTAGAACTCTGGGAGCACGCGTTTTGTATCATTTCTTACCAATCGATGTACTAAGGACTTACTAAGGACTCGTTTCAAGTATTCTAATTTTATTCCGGACTTGTAGTATAAAAGCTAGTGTAGTAGTAGTTGCTAGACACAAGTTACTGGACACTAGCCATCATCCACGTTATCGACCACCGTTATCGCTTGTACTCGCTAGGAGATAGACAATAACAACATAGTCACTCCAAGTTATACTCTCTGTCACGGCTTTTCTTCTAACGGTATTGGTGTACGCTCATATTGCGCCAATACACGGAATTTGGTGTCCACAACTCGCTTTTATCTTTTAATCCGCCAGCATCGTTTCACTTTCACCAGCCAGGATCGTTTTCATCAGTTTTCACCTTCTACGTCGCCATCGTTTTACCCAGTTCAGTTCAGGATCGTTACGTCCCCGTGTGGACTCAGATTAGGATCGTTATTGCCGCCAGCAGCATCTGTCACGGAATTTCGGTCAACAGCTTCAGTATAGGATCATCAGTCACGGTATTTGGTATCTTGCCGTCAGTTTCAGTATAGGATAGTCTCCGTGTAGACTCAGGATTAGTATCAGTTTCGTTTTGCCGTCGTTAACCTCAGTATAGTTTCAGTTTCAGTCCAGCCCAGTCCCAGCCGTCGTTTTGCCGTCACTAGTTCCCCCTCATATCATCGCCAGCCAGTCTTATCTTCGTTTTACCGCCAGTTTCTCGTTTCTCGACTACAGTCTTCGTCTCTTGCCGTCACGGTATTTGTTATCTTGCCAACGGTATTTCTCTTTGACGGCATTTTCTCTAATTCCGTCAACATCGCCCACGGCTTTTACTACTTAAATTGCCGTCACTTCGTTCACGGTTTGCCGGTATTCCCAGTTATACCGGATTCCGTTCCTTCTCGTCTATCGAGACCCTTCCCGGCTTACAGCCAACGTTTTCTAGTACTCGATCGTTAAGGGTACTACTTCGCTGACTGAAAAGTCGCAGTGTATACTTGCGTTCTTGAGGAATTCATCGCACGGAGGTGCACCGAAACACTCGCACAACAACAAAGCCTTTATTGCCGCTACACGCCATTTGCCGTGAACTCCTGTAGAGTTTTGGTTTTTGCCGTTGCCACGGAAGTTTAGGCTCATCACCGGTCTATAATGCCGATGGCACTCGCAACAAAGGGGGTGATATCACCGAATATGCCGAAGTACAGTTACGGATAGGAGATCACGTGGAGCAGATCGAACTAGCCGTAGTCGATCTAGGCTCCACCCCTCTGTTCCTGGGGCATGACTGGCTGCAGCATCATAACCCGCTTATTGATTGGGACACCAGAGCAGTTACCCTGGCCCGGTGCACGTGTAGGAAAATCCCCTTTTCCCTCCCCGACACCGATCCCTCAGCACGATGGGATGAGTACGAGGAAGGGGACACCATTTTGGTAATAGACTTCGAAGAAGCCTTCCATGTACGGGCCATGGGAACCAAGGCCAATGAACTAGCAGCCCGAGCCAATGCAAGAAAGGACCCCAAGTCCTTTGAGGAAATCGTGCCGGAGGAGTATCGGGACTTCAAAGACATTTTCGACAAGGAAAACTTTGACGAGTTGCCCCCGCGGAAACCCTGGGATCATGCCATTGAGCTCATCCCCAACGCTAACGCCAACTTAGACTGTAAAGTCTATCCTCTCAACCCGACCGAGCAAGAGGAACTAGACAAGTTCCTCGATGAGAACTTGTCTACGGGGCGCATCCAAGCCTCCAAGTCCCCTATGGCCTCTCCATTTTTCTTTGTCAAGAAAAAGGACGGAAAGTTACGCCCTGTCCAGGACTACCGAAAACTCAACGAGATGACCATCAAGAACCGTTATCCGTTGCCTCTCATCGGGGAGTTAATGGACCGACTAAAGAGAGCCAAATACTTCACCAAGTTGGACGTACGGCGGGGTTATAACAATGTACGGATCAAGAAGGGGGACGAATGGAAGGCGGCGTTCCGGACCAATCGGGGGCTCTATGAACCCCTGGTCATGTTCTTTGGTCTCACCAACTCACCCGCCACGTTCCAATGGATGATGAACGACATCTTCAAAGACTTGATAGCAGCCGGAGAGGTGTCGGTGTACTTAGACGACATCTTGATTGCCTCCAGGACCAAGGCAGAGCACAAAAAAATCGTGCGAAAGGTTCTCCAGATCCTTCGCGAGAACCAGTTGTTCCTCAAGGCGGAAAAATGCGAGTTCGAAGTAGAGGAGACCGAGTACCTGGGAGTGATCATTAGTGAAGGGAAGATTCGTATGGACCCCGTCAAAATTGCGGGCCTCTTAGATTGGCCGGTCCCCCGAAGGAAGCAGGAGTTGCAGTCTTTCCTCGGATTTTGTAACTTTTACCGACGGTTCATTTGTGATTACAGCAAACACATTCGACCCTTGACAATGCTTACAGGGAAACAAGAGTGGAAATGGGGGAAGGCCCAACAGGAGGCATTTGAGAAGCTCAAGGAGCTGTTCCGTGAGGACGTAGTGCTCGCCATTCCATTGGACCAAGGGCAATTTCGAGTGGAAGCAGACTCGAGCGAAGGAGCCGTAGGGGCGGTACTTTCTCAGTGGCAGGAAGAGAAGTGGCGCCCTGTAGCCTTTCTCTCTAAGGCACTGTCGGTGACGGAGCACAATTACGAGATCTA